CCTCTCCCCTCTCCCCTCTCCCTCTTTCTCTTTTGGTAACAGATGTCAACCTCAGTTAGATTCAACTCAACTTATTAGTGCATGGCTTTTAGCCAAAAGCAATTCACATTTTCAGAAATGTACTATCACATATGTCTTAATAACAGAAATGTGTTTTTTTTTAAATGTATGTGATAAGTCACATATGGTAGAAGAAATCTGTACATCTCTCAGGCTTTGCTGTCACAATGAAATCTTGGAGATGATTGCTGCAGAACATTAACATACAAGTGAAAGTCTCTCTGACACATTAAAGGGCCACAGTTCGAACATACTAATCAAGCTTTTGATAGCAGTATGGTTCCAATATAGTGAGAAAAACACCAGGCTTCTCTTGTTCTGATCATTGATCTTAAGAACACTCATGTTTGAGTCTTACCCTCAGAGGTAATATTTAATGTTTCAAGGGAAAGTCATTAGTGTATCCAGGTACATTATGTGCTTACATTCACTAGGCATATATTTAATTTCTCTTTTATATGGAGTGTAATTAGTGTGTACCACAGTCCCCCTATGGCGATGAAAGAAGCTTACAACCATGAAGGTATTAAAAATAAATTGAACAAGTGGTTGAGGAACAGGGAGGGGGAGGTGAAACTTTTAGTACAGGAAAATATACAAATTAAATGGATATTGTGAATCATTTACCATCACCCTGTTCGAAAACTTACTTAGTCTTAGTTGGAGGTGGAAGTGACATAATTTTAGAAAATTCACACACCCTTTGTAATATACCCATCTGTACACAATTTGGAAGACTAGCCCTATATTCTAGGTATGTGCTCTATGTGCTCATTGGTTTTTGACGCATCACTGTCCTCTCATTGGATCTCGTATCCATACAATTTTCAAGTTAGTGAGTGAAGAATGAGTCACTTTGCTCTGAATGATAATTAAGTGGTACATCAACCCCAGAAAGTCCTGAACACAGAATAAGGGCTCAGTAAATATCTACTCATTGTTTTAAAGGTCAAAAAGTGGGGAGGGGGCGGTGAGAAAGGATTGACAGTTTGACCTTCAGCATCACAAAAAAACTTAGTTCTTTTTTCTACCTGACCAACTAGACCAGGAGTCAGCAAACTTTCCATAAGAGGCCAGACAGTAAAACTGTTTGGCTTTGTAGGCTACATATACAGTCTCTGTCACAAGTACTCAACTCTGCCATTGTAGGACAAAAGCAGTCACAGACAATATGGAAATGAATAAGTGTGGCTGTACTCCAATAAAATTTTATTTATAGACACTGAAATTTGAATTTCATATAATTTACACATGTCATAAAATGTTCTTCTTTTGATTTTTTTCCCAACCACTTGACAAACTCTGCACCAAAACACTACATCAAATCACACATATGATTGTCTTTACTGATCTGTGTTCATACTTCAGTTGTAAATGAAGCAATTGGACCTCTACTTTTCGGCAAAACTATACACACTTTTCATTGTATGCTTACAAAGGACAATCCAATATTTATTCCTGCATACAAAATCAAACAGGAAATGATCAGAGGCAAAGCAGCTAGAATGAACCAGAGCAACGTGGGAACCATTTACATGTGGCACGAGTCAAGAATAATAGGGACTGGACAACTTGATCAGTTACAAACCACAGGTCCTTCTGACCTGATGGTGGCACCCCACTAGTTCCTGGAAGAACTGCTGTATGGGATGTGTCCAATTTTTTTGTTTGTTCATTCATTCCCAAAACATATAGCAAACTTTTTACTCTAGTTGGAGTCCCAGTGCATTGTGTGAAATGAAAATTCTCTGGCAGACATCAGAAACAGCAAGGCCATTGTACAAAAAACTCTCTCTTCTCCAAGTGCCCATACAGCTTGTGGCTGAGTTTGGTATGGTGAACCCATATGCACCAGGACACACAAACTCACCCTGAGAACCGTATCTTAATTAGAAGACAATTCTAAACACCCATAAGTTGGTCATGACTTAGGTTTATTACTAAACAAATTTTCAAATATCATTAAAAGTAAAAAGCTCTATAATCCTTTGACTCCTCTAGTTTCCCTGTCTTCTTTTTATAACATTCCTGAAAGCTCTAGACATTAGGTAGAGTCTGTACTCTGAATTAACAAGAACTCATAAAAATACAATTACCATAGGGTCAAATTCTCACAAGAAGCAAAGAGAAAACTGGCCCCACTTCCTGACCATTAGAATACAGTTAAATGCAGACCTGAACACTGACAATGGGCTGCCCTGTGCGTGCAAAGATAGACTTTGGGAAACACTTCCTATTGGGAGGGCTGGAACTTGGAGACATAGAGCCTCCATTGACATTCCTCCAGCCCTAGCCCCACACCTTGTGACCTGGGGCACACTTATGCATGCACATGGACGAGAAGGAGGGTGCAGTCAAACTGTGGGAAAGAAAATCACTAATGGCCCACCCAGGGACTAAAGTCCTGGCCCTGGCCTCATTAGCACCATCCTGTAATTCTTGGAGCTCACCAGCCACAGGCTCACAGTGGAGGAGCCTTCAGGGCATAGAGACCAAAAAGAAATTAGGCTGCAGAGAAGATTTCAACCTCAACTGAATGACCAGACAAAAACTCAGCTACTACAAGTACTTCCATAGGATTACAACATAATGTATCTCCAGACTACAGATGCCCCTCTTGAGGCTATAAAAGCCCGACAGGAAATATTCTGTGGCCTAAAAATGAAATTTAGAAACAAAATACACAACACCTTTTGGAAAAAATGTGTCAGGACTTGGATTTAGTGGTATGCTAAACACTACTCTGGTGCCCTGAAAAAATTAATTTTTTTAAGAAAATACAAGCAGCCTTCTTGTCATTGGGATTAGCTGATCCAGTCTCGAAGAAACTATTAAAAATCAACGCACTCCCTATTCCTGTATTTGCTACCAATCATAATGGAAGTCGGCTGAAATAATTTAACACATAGTTCCTAGAGATGTGATACCACCAGACCTATAATAACCCGGCAAATAGAGTAGGTCCTCCCATGGACACATGACTGGCAAGGCTGGTATGCATTGTAACACTGCAGTCAAATGTTACAAATCCAAATGACAAGACAGTCATCCTTCTTAATTTGAAAGTCTCCCTTCTGAAAGAGACAGGATGTCCAAGATGTACTATATTTAAAAGAGTGCTGTGCAGCTTGTTTATGATTTAAGAGTGTCCCATAAAATACCTTGGAAATCATTCTCTGTTAGCTAAAAAAATTCTTTAGTTAAATATATTTTTATGAGCTTTTCATTAACAGAGTATCAAGGTCTTGATGCCAAGGTGCCAAGCCTCCCCACGTGGCTGGAAATCACTTGGCACACTTTCAGTCATTTACGTCTCTGTCATAGGTCCAAGGTTTGCAATTAAAAATGTAATCTTTTTAGCATGTGCAAAGCCCAAAGGCTTGAAGTACTATGCATTGAATATGATTATAATAGTATTTGGCAGCTATTCATGGATGGCACATATTAATTTATGTAAACTGGGTACAACTTGGGGCATTTCTTCATCAGGAACACAGGGAAAAATATAAGCTGGTCCCTGCTCATTGGAGGGATTTTTTTTTGGCTTGTTTTATTTTTGCCTTTTAAATTGTCATGAATAGAGATTAACTGAAAATCCAAGGTCTCTTTTATGACCTTATTTTTTCACATGCATGGAGTCCATTAAAATTAACATTTCCAACTAATAAAAAATAATAACTTACTTCACAGGATTATTCCTAGGTTTTGCCTTTTCAACAGCCTGTAAACAGAAAAAAAATGCAATTAGACAACATTAGCAGGCATAATCGTTGCAACTAGTTACCAAAACAATAAGCAATGTAAAATACTCTTCAGAAACATAAGGAGGTAACTGAAGCAGGCTGCTGTAGATAAGCAGACTAGAGACTCAGAAAGTAATTTTTCTCTCCTGGGGAACGTGGCTACCTGTCCAAGTGCTGCTTTCCAACACAGATGGGCATTGTGAGAGCTGCCGGGAAAGTTCAGTAGGGGCCATGTGAGTGGGCTCTTGGATGCACAGCTAGGTCTCTCTCTTTCCACCTTTCACTCTAATTTTACCCCATGTGGGCCTGATTGGGTTGTAATGATAGGCTGGGGAGGCAGGTGCAGAGGGAACAATCTTTGGCATATCCTGGATTTTTAGATTTGTGGTAGGAAACTGCTCACCCTAGCATTACTATTGACACCTGGCCACACTTGCACTGTGATAGAAAGGCCAAAGTGTCCATTTCCAGAATCATTTTTATTAGAAGACACCACAAAAGGGCAAGGAATGACCGAATACTGAGATCAATTTCCTCCTGTGGAACCTTTAAGAAAATACACACCAAATCATCAAAATGAGGAAATCTCTGGGCCTCTCGTCCTGCGTCGCCTTAGACATGGAGCCGGGTTCCAGTTTATTGCTGAACCCATTGATCTGTGTACAGTCCATTTATCATTCATGAAAAGAGCTAGTGATCTTCACAGTATATTAGAAGAAACAACTCAGATCATCTGTCAACAGCCCTCTTATTTCTGTTTCCCTCTCCACAGGGATTTCATCTCCTTCGATTCTTCTGGAATTAAAATGTTGCTAAGCAACACAGCTGGGGGCGCTGATGGCAGAATGGCTACAGTCTATCAAACTGTTTAAGCACCTGGAGGGTTTTAGTGATGATTTTTTTTCATATTTCTGTAGCATAATTATATAATCAGAACCAAACTTGTACTCCCCTAGACTTTTCCAGGCTATAGAAATAACATTTAATACAGAGCATTGAAACAGCCGTTGGACAACCTCGGTGTTGTTCAGACCCTTTAAAAAAGTATGCTTTTGGAAACCTTTATGTTTGTAAATCCTAGAGGTAGATAGGGCTAAGGAGAAGGGAATACTGCTGTAAATTAGGATGCAGAGGCTGCCACTTTTAACAGAGACAATATATAACCTAACACTGGACTTGACATTCTGGGTGACCCGTGATATTCAGCATACTGAAGCCCTCCATGCATATCAACTCGATGCAATTACAAGCAATTTAAAAAATAAATGAAACACTTCTCAAGTTTAGATGCAAGTGTTGGAAATCCAAGCCTCCATTTATTAGTCTCAGATTCTGTTGCTAGATAAATAACCATTAATATTTGGGCAGTTTCTCTGGCTTAATAGGCAAAAATGATTTTCTCACCATCTGTGCCTCAGGTGGAATTTTGGCAAGTGCTACAATAGGGAAAAAAAGCTAGGGAATGAGGTAACAGGTGGAAATGAAAAAACAAGAAATATATGTTTGACTGACTCACTTCTCACATATATCTAGAATATGAAAGCTTGTCCCTGTGCAGTCCATGGAGAGAGGATGCTAACCCTGCTCACCGTGCAGTTTCAGCCATGTAAGATGAACAAAGGGGCTATGTTGGCAAGGAGTGGGAGCTGACTGTGCACCTCTCCTGCAGGACCGAGTCTCTACACACACACTCACACTCACACCTGCGTTTTTTTTTTTTAACCACCTTTTCTCCCAAGCCTGGTTGATTTGAAACAAGATACAGTAGTGGGCTGAAGACATGTCATTGTGCAAATCACAAGATTTCAATTTTTTCTGAAAATCTTAGAATCCAAATAAGTCTATTCTAGACTTAGATTATCACTAAGTAATGGACGCTGTGTTCAAGTGGTTTCCTTTAAAGCATGCTGGATGTGATAGGCTTAGCATGCTACCGGCAGAAGACAGTGAGGGAAGAAATCAAAGTGACATGCTTAGCCTCGCTTTGAATCAGAGACATGTTTTTTGAAAATGTCCTCTCTGCTCCCTGCTTCAAACTGTCAGTTAGACCCAGTTATTATTCTCTGATCAGGAAGATCATGATCATGTTTGAGGTCTGTTTCTTTGAAACACATGTCTTTTTATGGAGCCATCACAAGAAAATAACTTCCCTGAAATTAATTTTTCTGGGTTGCTTGGCTATTGATTGAAAATGTCTATGCTGAGAGGTTCTCTTTTCTTTGGAAATTAATGTGTGATCATTCTGATGTCCCAGCAGCTCTAGTCAGATATTCTCATGTCATCCTCTTGTGTCTGTGCTCATCACCTTGAATCTCTAGCCTGTGCCAGATGGGACACAGCTCACAATGTGTATTCTTCATTTTCCCTGTAATTTGATGTTGTCTAAGGCATGCTATGAGAAATTATTATATAAAGCGACTTTGAAGAAAAGTTTTTAAGCGAATTATTTTTGTGCAAATGATATATGCTTTTAAAGGAGAATAATTATTCTACAATATACCCAAAGAGAAAGTTCCTCTTTTGAAATAATGGGACATGAGAAGACACCCCAAGTTCCAGATACATGTGCCAGAATGTGCGGCACACCGCAAAAGGAGACAAATTAAAAGGAGATGACAGAGCGCAATTCACCAAGCATTAAGACAGTTACATACTGGGATTACAGCTAATTTTGAGTTTAAAAACATACATTAAAGTAATTTAAACTGATTGGGAAATGGAGGCTAGAGAGTTAACAGTTATGCTGCTTTAATTTATAATGCCTATATACTTTAAAAGACATATATTCTCCTTATTTTGTGCATAGTTACCTAACATGATACTTATCTCACCATTGAAGAAGCTCTAATATAAGAAAAAATGATAAAAGAAATTAAACTGTTAAAGAATCTACTTGAATATGGTGTGATTAGAGGTGATAGACTATAGTGGGAAGAGTAGCGTGCTAGAAATGTTAAAAACCTGGGTTTTAGCCCCAGCTTTGCCACTTATGACATTGACAAGTGCTAACATCTCTGAGTCTGTTTCCTCATTTTTTTAAAAATGAGGATAATCGATATCAGGGGTGGTTGAGAGTAGCCAACACTGACAATAGTGCTTTGAAACTGCAACATGCTATACAAATGCAGTGCATCTTAACTGTGACAGCTTTCTACACAGATGTTCATATGTAGCTTTGTATGCCCAGATAGTTTATGGGCTTACTGAGTAGCAGCCAGGTTGCAGTATCAAACCTATGCAGTTATTCCATCGAGTATTATAGGAACCTCTATGCTCTCTCTATATCAGGAGTGGTTCTGGGATGAGCAGAATGTTTCTGTCTGAAATGTCCTACTTGCAGAAGACTGTGATGTGTTTAGATTCTAGATTCTACAGACCTAATCCCCCTCTGTCTTTCTCTCTCTCTCTCTCTCTCTCTCTCTCTCTCTCTCCAAGAAAGCCTAGGATGATTCCTTCCTATTTTCTAGGTGATCCCTCCTTTAGCAACTCCTCCTTCTACACCTCACACCATCATGGGGGCTCTTTACTTTTTTCACTGGCATTTGACCTTCAGGATGGGGAAGCCCCAAAGATCTTATTCTACATAGGCTATCTCCATCATTTGGCATCTTGAGAAATTCTATGCCAGGGAGAAGGCACTTCTCCGATTCCAAGGAGAGTTTGTGAGCTAATTTCTCTTTCATTACCAGTATTGTACTGTCCAAGGTATCCTGCTAAGCTGCAAAATTATTTCTTCAGGAGGGAAGATATGGCTAAGGACAGGCTCATAGCTGTTCATGCATTAAATCTATGTCACTAAAAAGAAAAGGAACCTTTTTTTTTTTAACGTAAAGAATCCTTGTGTTTCACTGACACTAAAGTGACTCAGGGACTGTATCGAATTACCTGTACTATATAATGCAGAGCTATCACCAAAAAAAAAAAAAAAGGTAAAAAGAAAGAAGGAAGTAAAGAAAGTGGCTGTCTATTGAGTCCCATTCACCATGCCATACATGATGCCATATTTTGTTAGGAATAAAATGTAACATAAAAGGCACTTAGAAAACATGCTAGTCTTCCTCTATATAATGATCACACTTTTCAGAATTACTCAACAAGGCACTTCTGTCCCATATAGTACATGCCATTCATTAATTGCTATTCTAGTTCAATAAACACATATACTATATTTACAGAAGCTTTAGAGATTCTTTTTGGGCTTCTACAAAGCATGCTCTGAACAGTTATATTCAGATTTATGACATTACCCTTCTTCTGAGATTCACAGAAAACAAATCCAATGCAATATGTTTTCTGTATGTTGAGACTGTCAAAGCGAGTACTCAGATGGCCTAGAGATATTGTAACAGTGAACTCATTTTACAGGGCTACGTATTATGGTACTGCTTTTTTCCATAATCAATAATAATGCTGTCAGTCAGGCATAAAATGCGATTTTATTAGTATTGCTGTATGTGGTTTTCACATTTCCTGTTTATATGCCCTTTCCTGTCATTCTACTAGCAGATATGTCCAATCTATGTCTCTACATTTCTTGATAAAAAAGGAAAAAGTCAATCACTCAGATAATTCCAAGTAACTGGATAGCCAGCAATTTGGAAACAAGACAAAAGAACAAATAATTGCACTGGTTTTGTGTTTCTTTGTTTCGTTTTGCCTTTAAAATTCTTTTTCACATGATTTTTCTGTGACATATAACTATATCCTCATATAGTGGCATGTATTGGTAAATTGTATCGATTGCTTAAGTTCAGAAGAGAAACTCCTTTATTAACAAATGAACTCATCATTACAGTAGTCAAATGGTTTAAAATCAATATCTACAGAATTGGTTCAATCAATTGAAAAGATATATACTGAAAGCACTTTCCTAAATATAAAAATGAATTGCTTAATTACAGCATTTAAATAGATTTCACTGGAATGAGTAAAACAGCAAAAGACAATGTATCCTGTGGGCTGAGGTTTCAGCTGGCAG